GAAAGTAAAAGCCTATTCAAACTGCAGTGTATGCTGGTTTGGGTGTTCTCCAACATAACTCTCACAACGCATCTCTGGACATACTCGCTCTCCCAACGGGGAGCTTACATAACACTGGTTATGGGCCCAGAGTGTACCAGACGTAGCTAAAGGAGAGTTGGTGTTGATACGCAATACCGCATACAGACAGCTATTTATTTAGTAACCTCATTATCCTGGAGAAGATGGCGAGCGACCCATCAACAAGCCTGTCTGTGGTAACCCAGCTGGATGGAACAAACTATGTTTCCTGGTCTATGAAATGCAGCCTACTCCTGCATAGGGAAGGTTTATGGAATGCTGTACAGAATCCCCCGGATGTAACTACTAAATAAACTGCAGTGTCTCTGTATGTTGGTTTGTGTGTTCTCCAACACAACTCTCACAACACTTCACTGAACCTACTCACTCTCCCAACGGGGAACTTACCTAACACTGGTTATGGGCCCAGAGTGTACCAGACGTAGCTAAAGGAGAGTTGGTGTTGATACGCAATACCGCATACAGACAGCTATTTATTTAGTAACCTCATTATCCTGGAGAAGATGGCGAGCGACCCATCAACAAGCCTGTCTATGATAACCCAGCTGGATTGAACAAACTATGTTTCCTGGTCTATGAAATGCAGCCTACTCCTGCATAGGGAAGGTTTATGGAATGCTGTACAGAATCCACCGGATGTAACTGCTATTTAAACTGCAGTGTCTCTGTGTGCTGGTTTGTGTGTTCTCCAACACAACTCTCACAAAGATTTGCTGAACGTACTCGCTCTCCCAACGGGGAGCTTACCTAACAATACCGATCACCATCAGGGAAAATCATGTTTTTGTCTTATCTTCTGCTGTGTTGAGCTGTTCACTAAATTTTCTATTTATTCTTGCACACGCTTCACTTCCATCATATACCACTCTTACTGCCTTCACCAATCATCCTTTCACTGCATAAATACAGAAGACAAGCCCATAATTCAAGCCTATAGAATTCATTTCATCACATACTTTCCTAACTCAAAAGTAGCTTTCTTTTCCACATTCATATGCAGTGATGCTTAATGACATCCAGAACATTAATCTGATCTGCACACTCTCTGGCTTCACTGTACTTCCCAAATGTTGCTCATTGAACAATAAAGAAAAGATGACAATCACAATTCTGGCAAATACCTTTTCTGGGGACACTTTCAAATGAATATTTAGTTTTTGCATTAATTTTTGCTACTTTCCTCTGTAGTAGAACAATAAGAGAATTCTTCATTGTTATCCATAAATGCACTTCACAAATATACAGAACACCATCTACTTAATCATAATCTGATCTAAGTCAGAATCCAAATAACACAAAAATCCAAGCTGCATATGTTTTAGCCTGTTACCTGGCATACTCTGCTGTGAATATCTCAGTTTAACTTTTGCCTCCTTATCTTCTTTTTCCTACTTCTTTCTTTCTTTTTGACTGTTAGTTGATTTCAGGGGAAAATGCTACTGCTTACATAAAAACTGCTATACTTTTTAAGTAGCTACCATGTCTTGCAACCCCGCATCTCTTTACTTTAGACTTACCGTAGCCTGCTCTGAGCATATGGCCCCAACTTTCTGAGCTTCTTCAAAAAGTTTATCAACACAACCATCAGAATTATTCTGCTTTGTACCATTCTGAATTTGGCCATCAGTTTTGAGTTGGCAAATCCTGCAAAGATGGAAAACTCACATAAAATATATTGTTTGAATTAAACATAACCTAAAGGTTTGCTTTTCACAGAACTGTTAAAACATTTCAGAATGTGTACTATATCTATATCTTAGTTTAATAAGACCACTACAGTTCAACCCAACCCAATCCAACCCAGAAGGAGTAATTTCTCAATGC